GGCTTGCGGTGGTTGAAGAAAGGATGCCATGATTATAAGTTGTTAAAAATATATTTAAATATCAATCAGCTCTAGTCGAGACTGCTCGACTACGAGATCCCCTGAACCCCCTTGCTCCAAGGAATAGCTATTTCAATAATTTTTTTAACATGAATATGGATGTATTTGCCAAAGCACATGTCTCTAGTATTTGAAATACGCCTTTTACAAAAGTGAAGGTGAGGGGATAGTTATCGAAATTGGCTAAATTGCATATAAGCATACATTAAAAATTTGGAGACTCTAGCAATAAAGGTGTAGAACATATAATTTTATAACTGGTTTTCGATAAGGTTTTTTATCGATAAAAAAAGATTGGGATGAGTTATCGATTTTTAATGATAAACTCGATATCCACGCTGTAATTACGGACATTTAAAAAAAAATTGAAGTCTAGCTTTTATATCTTCAGAAATCGAGGCGTTCATACGTACGGACAGACGGACGGACAGAGCCAAATCGACTCAGCTCGTCACCCTGATCAAAAATATATATACTTTGTGGGGTCTGCCACGCCTCTTTCTGCCTGTTACATACATTTCAAGAAAACCATTATACCCTGATTTCCCATTGAAAATGTTTTCAGGATATAAAAACATCAGCTTTTTCCGATTTTTGTTCACAAAATTCCGGATTTTTTAAAGTATCTTTCCACTAAAAACAGGTTTTTTTGCTCAACAAAAATTGGCAACACTGGTCTGTAGCAAGGCTTTCTCCCAACACTTACCTTCGATTAGCTAGGGTGAGCCCCTTCTGGGATGAAATGAAAATGCTTTGTTGTGTGGCTTTAAATTCTTACGTTTTTTTATTTACAGATTAATCGATTTTCTGTCTGCTTCTGTTTGTTTTTCACAATTAGCTTGAGTTTTGATTCGTGTTTATATTTGTTGAATACGTAATATGAATTGTATTTGATTTTTTGCTTTAACATCAAGTATTTGTTGAAATCATCTTTCAAATAGTATATATATGTGTATATATTTGTCTGTGTGTGTGTGTGAGAGTGTGTGTGTGTGTGTATATGTGGCTGTTCTGTGTGGGTATATATTTGTATTTGAAGTTGTGTTTCTATTTATATTTGCATTTCCATGTTGCTTATGCATTTGTATTTGTATTAGATTCTGTTTGTTAGTATTGTTCTTTTCTTAGTTCATTGAAAATCCTCCATTTGATTATACATATATATAGTATATATGATTAGGTATAGAGTGGTAAAAAATTATTAGAAAGTAGGGCCAAGCCAGCCGTGGATATATATATTTGCTGGTGTCCACATGCTCCGTCGTCCGCAGATCCTTAGCCGTAGTAGCTATTGGGCGGCTGAGTGGGGTAGTCCTTGGCGCCGTTGCTGCTAGCGCCGCCGGAGCCACTGCGCGAGGATGGGTTTTCGCTGAAGAGGCCCCCAAAGTTCTTGGAGTTGAAAATCTCGCTGAGGCCGCTGCCACCACCACCATGGGTGGCGCCTCCAGTGCCACCGCCGCTTAGGAGGCTGCCGAGGAAGCTGCTGGCACCGCCGCCGCCGCCGGCATTGCCGCTGGCACCGCCGCCAGAAAGCACAGAGCCAAGGAGGCCGCCAAGTAGATTACTGCCACCGGACGAGCCGCCGGATGCGCCGCCACCGCCGCCGCTTGAGTAGCCACCGCTGGGCTGGTAACCGTTGGTCCCGCCTGCGTTGGCGCCGCCGTTGGCCCCACCGCCCTGCAGCTGCTTGGCTATTTGGCCTGCAATGATACCGGAAACCGCTTGACTCACCGCCGGATTCGAGAAGAAGCTGGAGAAGAAGCCGCCGCCCTGCTTGTCCTTGGGCTTCTGGGCGGCGCCACCACCACCATTGTCATAGCCAGGCGCGGGCGGAGTGTAGCCGGGCACCGGCTGATAGCCACCGCCAGGAGCGGGCTGGTAACCGCCCTGCGGGTGGTAGCCACCCTGCGGATTGTAGCCGCCTTGTGGATTGTATCCGCCTTGTGGATTGTAGCCGCCATACGGATTGTAGCCAGCAGCACCGCCACCATTGTTGTTGTTGTTGGGGAGCGTGGGATAGAGACCATGTCCGCCAGCCGAGAAGCCATTACCATATCCACCTGCGCCGCCGCCACCGTATCCACCAGCTGCGCCACCGGCGCCACCCTGACTGCCATCTGCCTCCGGCAGCGGGGCGCTGGGTCCGTTCGGCGCGTACGAGTTGTGCGTGTTGCCGCTGCTCACTGTGGATCAGACGCAGCGATTGCATCGCCGCAGCATCGCAGCAACAGCAGCAGCGCAGTAGCGGTAAGCAGTTAGAGTTAGCCACAAAAGCGTTTGACAAAAGGGCAAAACATAATTTATGAAGAAAAACAAGAAGAAGGGAAACATAAAAAGCGATAAGCATTAAACAAGGCCAAAACAAAGAAAACGTCAAAAATGAAGAAAAAATGAATGAAAGCCCAATCTATGCTAGGGAGTGGGGGAAGGAGGATTTCTTAATTCGTTCTAATCAATTCTAGTTTTCATTTTGATTAACTTATTTTAATTAAAGTTTCATTACAGTTGCCTCTGTTACCTTTTGATTAGCGTTTCTGTATATGCCTACAGTCGATAAAGTTATCGATAAAAAATTATCGTTATTCCAACATTTAAATTCTACACAACTTTGAGTTTGTTTTTTTTTTTTTTGCTTAGTTTTTATAAGTCTTCTTTGCCGTATGGATAAGTATATTGGTTATATATATGTAATA